CAGCCACTCCTCGGAAGGAAGGTTGGGCAATCCTACTTCAGTAGTGATACTGCCTCGGAAACCCAAGGAGGGGTCGCTATGAGTCAGGGCTGACTCGACGGCACATAACAACAACAATGTGGCCTGACAAAATTAGGAAAAATTATAATTTTTGGAGGGATTCCATTCCACAGTACAAATCCCTGTCTTCCCTCCACTGGGATTTAGGATTCTGGAATTTATGATTCTTCCTCTATTTAAATCAGCGATGAAGTGAGAATTATGCAAAATCTCTAGGGTAGGTGTGTATTTCTTGGGATCGTGCTACATAGTATTATAGTGAGATACTGAAGAAAACAAAAGGTCGTTTTCATAATAACGATACTAATTTCAGGAAAAACTTGATAAATTCTTGACTAGATTTTGAAGGAAAGAAACAAAGGTCAAGGCCGGGAGGAGGGGAGCTGCGAGGAAGCGATTCACTGTGGCTCCGAGATTCTAACATCTCATGATATATATATCAGGAAATACTAAAGATTTATTTTAACCACGTATGAAATTGCCTGAACCAGAACACCTAGCACATTGCTGTACACACACCAAGTGTTTTAACAAACGGCTGCTGACTTGAAGTCCACCCGGGGAGCCCCCAGTATTTGCGTCCTTGGCCAACACAATCACCAAAGCCAAAACTGCATACCCCAACTTTAAATAACACTCCTATAGCCGTAAAGCATCCAGGCAATAACATCTTACAGCTCACAGTAACCAGTGGGGGGAAAATCATCTGTGAATGCACTGATCTAAATTTAAAGAATTAGGTGGCGCTTATGAAAAAAAAGAAGTTGGGTGAACCCACCGAAACTTGTCTCAGGAAATTAGATGTTTACTTAGTAAACATGCGGTAGTCATAGGCACCTGCTACTGTGAGAACCTGTCCAGGAGTCACCACCGCCGCCTACTTGCAACATCCGGGGACTTCTCAACAAACTCCAAGCATCCCAATGCCCGAGCCGTTGGGTTTATTTGAAACATACTCACAGCCAATCAGTCGGCGCTCATGAGAAGGCGGGCGAAGAGCAGCAACCAATCACCGCCCCGATGGAGACTCCAGCCTATGAGGAGGAAGTTGACATTACGCGCCAATCGTCATGGTTCTTAGAAAGAGCAACTCACTTTTTGAATTGGCTGTGGCGGTGGTCGGCGAGTGATGGCGGCATTAGTGAGAGGAATCGGTGCTTGAAGTGGTGACTTTCCAGGGCTGTTTTGAGAGTGGTGAGGACCCAGTGGATGGGGGTGAAGGTGGGGAAAGTGGGAATGGGAGGGCGTCCCTGGAGCTGAGATCCCCTCTGCCTGTGTCTGGCAGCCCCACCCCGGTGACCGCGAATTCCGGATCGCCCCAGCCCGGGCTACCCGTCTGGGGACTCCACCCCAGCTCTACCAGCCGGACCCTGGCCCCAAGTGGGGACCCTAAGTCCACATGATTGTCTGGCATCTTCACCGCTATCTTGGTTGGATCCCCTTTCCAGCAGAGTGTGGGTGAAGGGAACTGGGAAAGGAAAGCTGTGGCTCTAGGGATCCGCAGCTGCAGCCTTTTGGGGCTTATCTCTGAGTCTCAGTGGTTTCATTCTAGGATTTTTGTTGGCCTCTTTTCTGTGGGAAGCTTACTTTGTAGTTTTTACTTGTAAAAGCCACCCTAGTCCAGTCCCTACTCGTCACAAATGTGTATGCCTTAGTGGTTAAAAAGCGCAGCCTGTGGAATCAGCAAGGATTTGAATACAAGCTTTACCATTTACTGTCAATGTGACTTAAGGAAATTTGCTCACTGTCTCTGTGCCAGGGTTTCTTTGTCTATAAAATGGTGATAATAACAATACTTAGGATTGAATGTATACAAGTGGGAGGCTAATAAAATATCTGGCATATAATAAGCATTAAATACACGTTAGTTGTTAAATCGCGAAGTTATTGTTAATAATACTACCAGCACAAACATATCCTTTAGGTTCTCCACTCTGGAAGATAAATGCCTAAAAATGCTAAATAAAAAGAAACTTAAAATTTTATGTTTAGAATGAGAAGTGTCCTGTTTTATAGTACGTTTAGTCAGAAGCTTCTTGAAGGTGTTCTTGGATGAGAAACACTCTAAAGGTTTATGAACACTAATCCTATTAAAAGCTTTCATAATACAAAAACCAAAGGATGTTAAAAAAAAAAAAAAAGGTGAATAGTGTATTTCAGTTTGTAATCAGAACGTTGGATGTTAAGTCACCAATTTGCCCCGCAGCTCTTTTTCTCTAACTTTAGAAGTTATTTTGGAAAAAGTTGATCTCATACAATTCTATCAGGGACAGTTTTAATTTTTAATCATTTGCTTTGATGGTCTTTAAGAAGGGGAAGGTATATAAGAAAAATGTAAACCCAAATGGGTTTTTGATTCATTAAAAATTCTCTACCTCCAATCATTAAAGCAGATTAGTTCATTTCTTTACTTTTTTTCCTTAACAGTTTTTTAAGGGAACTTTAATGAAAGCCTATTTATAGCCTTTCGTTTGCACTAGAAAGAAATAAGTGAAAGAGACTTAGAAAATATTTAGGGCTGGAGAGAATTGATTATTGATTTAAATAAAGGCTCCAGTTAAATAAAGGCTCCAGTGGATGTATGGTTAGACAAGGGATGTCCACATTATGAATAGTATATGAGAATTAATAATTAGTTTTCACTTTATTTTATTTTAAGACATCATCTATTCAGTTCTCTTTAGTACTAGATTTTAGTTGTACTATTATCTGTTTCACTGATGTGGAAACTGAGGCTTAACCTACTAAGTATAGAGTTGGGACAAGAAGCTAATTCCGCCTGATTTCAAAGTCTTTTCAGGTCTTTGTAATTAGTGTGTACATCTGTGGACTATTTTCTATCAGTATCTAGAAACAGTTTACTTGATTTGCTAAGTATCTGGAGAAAGATTTTGTGTATTTTATTAATCTGATGAAGTAGAAAAGGGTCAAGTAGGTCAGACATGTACCTTCAGATAAAGATAGTAAGATGGAGCAGTCTACTTCCCTAAAGATTTAGCTCTGGTGGCGCAGTGCGTAATGCATTTGACTGCTAAGGAGAAGGTTGATGTGGAACAGAGGTGAGCTGGGGCAGTCTACTTATGTGAAAATTTATTCCTGGTGGTGCCACGGGTAAGGCACTTGACGTCTAAGGAGAAGGTTGGCAGTTGAAACCCACCAGCCACTTGGGGGAAGTAATATGGGACAGTCTCCTTCTGTAAAGATTACCTCTGGTGGGATGATGGGTAAGGCAGTTGACTCTGCTAACCAGAAGATTGGTGGTTCAAACCCAGCAACTACTCTGCAGAAGGAAGATGGAGCAATCTACTTCTGTGAAGATTCACTGCCTTGGAAACGCAGTGCGTGTCCCAATGAGTTGTAATCAACTCATGGCAGTGGGTTTGGTGTTTTTGGTTTTATATTTGCCTAATGTTTAGGCAAATATTTACCTCAAGATAATAGACTTACATAAAAAGTTCAATTTGAATTGATGAAAGAAAAACTTTTTTTTTTTTTTTTCTTTTTTCCCTGTTTGCCTTACTTTTCAACTTTCAAGACCTGGAATTTATTTTTAATTAAAAGCTTTCTTTCAGAGTCAGGTTGGCACTAACCCATGAATAATTGTCTTCTCAAATCTTTTAGAGGAGAGACATTAAAATAATACGAATAAAGAGAGCAGTCCAATTATACATGAGAGGTTTAGAGAAATCCATAGAAAATGAGTCCAGTGGTGATTAAGGTTAGGAAGACCTTTTAGGTGGAGAATTGAGCAGTGTTAGATACAACAACGCACTGCCATGAAGTCAGATCTGACTCATAGCGACCCCTCCGTGGGTTTTCAAGGTGGTATCACTACGGAAGTAGATTGCCCAACCTTCCTTCTGAGGAGTGGCTGGTGAGTTTGAACCACCAGCCTTCTGGTTAGCAGTCAACTGCCTTAGGCACTATGCCACCAGAGTTCCTGTCTTAGATGCAGGTATGTGTAAAGTAAATTGTGTCATTGTGTTTGAAATATGCTGAGAAACTCATTGTGGCTGAAGCATTAAGGGTATGTGCATTGGGAGAAGATAGAGCTGAGTAGGTAGACTGTGGCCAAATTGTAAATTCGATGGTGAGTTTCCACTTGATCATGTAGGGAAGATAAGCTCAGGAAAGTTTTAAGCAGGGGAAATGTTGTGGTTCCATTTGTTTTTGGGGCTATACTTCTGAAAATCATGTAGAGAAGAACCTCAGAAGAAACTGATGATAGAGAAAAGTGTTTGAAGCTGTTGTACTAGATCAACTTGTTATAGTGGCATTGGGGGTAGAGAACAGGGGCCAAGTCCCAGAGATATACAAGATGGAATTAATAGGAATTTCTTGGAGGGGGATGAGGTAGAGCAAACAGTAAGGATGGATCTCAAATTTTTGATTAGGGTTGTTGGGGGTGGCGTGAGGATGGTGATAATAAAGGAATATAGGAGAGAAATAATTTGGCTGAAATGTGGAAGAGGGAGGTAGCATACTTACTACTTTTTGAGTGTTTATTATATGTCAGGTAATATTCTGAGTACTTTAAACGCATTGTGTTAGTTTTACAATATTCCAGTGAGTCACGTATCAGTATCTTTTATTTTACAGAAGAAGAAACAGGCCTAGAAAGGTTGAATGGCTTTTCTTTGGATCCGTGTTAATAAAAATGGATAATTATAATTTCTGTAAATCCTAGGTGTAAAAGTAGAGCCTCTAATGCTTGTTTTTGCCCTGTGTTCATGTTTGTTTTTGTGCATTTATATTAAAAATTTATTGTTTCAGCCAACATTTAAGAATAGAAACAATGGCTGACAACAGTTTGTTAACATCCACTGCTGGGAGGTCTAGCTTGGCGGACTCTTCTATTTTTGATTCTAAAATGACTGAAACATCCAAGGAAAACTTACTTGTTGGATCTACATATATTGAAGGTAAACTTATTTCCTGTTTTAGAATACTGATAACCATTTTAAAAATACTAAACTTATAATTGATTACTCTTCCTTGATTGGACTGTATGTAATACCAATTGCTAAGCTAGAGTATTGTTGTTGTTGTTGTTGTTATGTGCCATCGAGTCGGCCCCGACTCATAGCGACCCTTCCTTGGGTTTCCGAGGCAGTATCACTACTGAAGTAGGATTGCCCAACCTTCCTTCCGAGGAGTGGCTGGTGGGTTTGAACCGCCAGCCCTCTGGTTAGTAGTCAAGTGCTTTAGCCACTATGCTACCAGAGCTCCTTAGCTAGAGTATAGGTATTAATTATTTATTGACAGAATCTCTTCACACTGTCGATTTTCTGATTATCATTTGGATTAATGCTTCTCTACTTTGAATGGATTGGCATTCAACTGATGGATTTGCTATCTCTGAATGTACGGGCAGTCTGTCAGCAACATTGTTAGCTAGGATTTACTCTATTGTGCCTGGTTTGGTGAAGAGCCACTTCTTCCCTTACCATTTTATAAATGTTTCCCTAAAGTTGTATGCATTCTTGTAGAGTATGACTATGCACTATGTTGTTGTTGTTATGTGCCGTTGATAGTGAGTGCTTTTTTTGATTAGAAAGAATGGTAATGTTTGTATACTCCACTAAAGTATGTTTTCTCTTTCTCTAAAGTGATACATGGCCAAATATTTTTCTAATATATTGGAAATTAAGTAAGCTTTGAGGAATTTCAGAGAATGTTGGGATCTCCTCAAGGACAGAAGGAAGACATACTAGATATGGCCAAGAGAGGGTTAGTAATTACTGTATTTGATGTTAATGCTTGACAAACATATTTAAAATTTTAAATTTTAACAGAGGAAATGCCTCAGATTGAAACAAGGGTGATATTGGTTAAAGAAGCTGGAAAACAGGAAGAACTTACAAAGGCCATAAAGGTACGGAGATTTGTTTTTAGTTGAAAAAAAAACAAGGGAAGCTATTTTTTTCCATCACTATATAATGAATTCATAATTTTCTTAATCTCATACTTAAGTCTCTTTCCACAGACTGTTAAAATAATGGAAGTCCCTGTTATAAAGATAAAAGAAAGTTGTCCTGGAAAATTGGATGAAAAATTAATAAAAAGTATTATTAATATGGTAGGTCAAGTACCTCATTGCATGTGGCATGCTGCACTTCCCTTAATTGTATTATTCTACTTCATGGTGATTGGACCCTAAATGATCACAAAAATATATTTTGTATAACCTGAAGCCATACTTTCTTAAAATTGGGGTGCTTCTTAAACCCTAAACTGTAGCATATATTATAAATAATGAAATGCTTATAAAGTAATTTGGTTGTCATTTAAATGTATTTATAAAGACTTGGTCATGTTCTTTAAATCTTTTTTTTTTTTTCTTTTCTCATTAGTTTTATTTAGTTCAAATTCTTGCTCTCTTGCTCTGTCTTCAAAATTGTGGATCAAAATAATTGACAGTCATTTGGGAATTTATTTCAGCATATGAAATAGGTCTAATTCTTTATATAGCCTGGCAAATAAAACTCAAATAATGTATTGACCCATTCAGAATTTTCTTTTAAATGGTTTCTTTTTTTACATACAAGAGTCAGTGTAGGTACTTAAGTAGTGTATCTTCATTCTTGTAGATGTATGTTGTTGTTGTTGTTATGTGTCATCGAGTCACTCATAGCGACTCCTCCTTGGCTTTCCGAGGCGGTATCACTACAGAAGTAGATTGGCCAACCTTCCTTCCGAGGAGTGGCTGGTGGGTTTGAATTGCCAGCCTTCCAGTTAAAAGTCAAGTGCCTTAGGCACTACCTACCAGAGGTCCCAGATGTATAATATAAAGTGTTAAAACAGTAACTTGCCTTTTTATAGGCCTCTATTTGCCCTACTGCAACTGCCGCAACGATTCCACATCTGCTTATTTTCCTTATACATACTAAAATGATTATGCCAATCAATATCATTTTTGTAAATATTAAGTGCTATTTTTTCCCCTTATTTTTCTTAAGACAGTTAATTTATGCAGAAAGAATTATGAGGATGACATTTTGATTAGAATGAAAAAAACAGTGGATATATTTTAAGTACTATCAAAATGCATGTACATAAAAATATTTCAGCAGTCTAATTTTATGAAACTATATATATATATATATTAAATGATTTAGAAAATAACCAAATTCACTGTTGTAGAGTTGCTTTCTAATCATGGTGACCCTATTGGACAGAGTAGAACTGCCTAGAGAGTTTCAAAAGTTGTAAATTTTTATGGAAGCAGAATACCAAGTCTTTCCCCTGTGGGGTGGCTTAAGGTTCAAACCTCTGACCTTTTGCTTAGTAGCCAGGTGCTTACCCACTACACCACCAGGGTTCCATCAATTTTATAATGATTAGACTTAGAGTCATAAATCAGAAACTTATGATTTTATAGTATTGATCTTCAAAATTTAAGATCTTACTATGGATAGAGAAATGTATGTATAAAAATAAAAATAAGTAAAAAAAAATGGCTGTTAAATATTAAATGTGATGCTTATAATTATGTAGTTTTAAGTTCTGTACAAATATAAAAATAAATTTAAGATGTTGATTTCTCTACGATATTAATGACTGATATTGAAATGAGTTTTAGACTTCATAATTGGTTATTTATATAATATGTAAATAAATTTTATTTCTAATAACTACATGAAAAAATCAAGGAAATTAAAGTGCCCTTTCTCAAGATGGAATCAGTGGAAGAAATTGAAGGTTTGGATTCTCCAGAATTTGAAAATGTATTCATAGTCACAGACTTTAAGGATTCTGTCTTTAATCACTTATACAAGGCTGATTGCAGAATTATTGGACCACCTGTTGTATTAAACTGTGCACAGAAAGGAGAGGTAAGAAATAATATACATCTATTTTGACTTCTCAAGGTTACATTTTTATTAGTGAATTTTATAAATTTTTTAAGAAAAATTACATTAATTTATGAGAGTCTGAAATATTTAGAATAGAAATAGTACTGGCTACTGTATTATAGTCCTTTAATTCCTCCTATTATAATCCTCACTATTGGAAAATCTAACCAAACAAACCAAACTCACTGCTGTTGAGTCGATTCTGACTCTTAGCGACCCCCTTCTTGGGTTTCTGAGGCAGTATCTCTATGGAAGTAGATTGCCCAGTCTTCCTTCTGAGGAATGGTTGGTGAGTTTGAACCTCTAGTCTTCTGGTTAGCAGTCAAATGCCTTAAGCACTACTCTACCAGAGCTCCCTTGGAAAATCTAAGGCTGTTGAAAGACAGTAACAACTATACATATGCATATAAAAGCACACATGTATATGGTCTTTTTTATTATTTTTTATTTTATTATTTTATTTTTTATTATGATTTGGGTGAAAAATTACAGAGCAAATTCATTTTCCATACAGCAGTTCACATACACTTTGTCTCATGACATTGACCACAGTTTACCACAATGCAACAGCTCCCCTCCCACTTCCTCCCGATAGTTACCTCTTCCCTGTTCCATCCCTCCATTTACTCCTGCCCCTTGAACTCTCTCCCTGTGCATAAACAGCTCTTCTTTCTCCCATGATTGTTCCCTCCAAGGAGTGTATCTATCTCAGGTAAATGTTTAACTCATGTGCCTGTCTGTTGTTTGGCTGGAAGCCACAGGTGTGGGTTGAATTCCAGACCTGAATGGCAGCTAGGGGCCATAGTTTCAGTGGTTCCACCAGGCTCTATCGGACTAGCAAACTTAGTACCCTCCCTTTTTTTTTTCTCCAGATGATTTTGAGTTTTGTTCCACATTGTTCTCTCTCTCTATCCAGGATCTCCTGCATAGATTCCCCCTCCAAGTGGTTGACGTTGGTAGCTGGGCACCATCTAGTTCTTCTGGTGTCATAGTTGTATAGGCTGCAGATCGCATGGTGTACTAGTTGCTGGGACTAATTGTTTCCATGAATTTTTGTTTTTCTTCATTCTTCTTTGCTCCAGATGAGGAAAGACCCATCGTTACATCTAGATGGCTGCTTGCAAACTTTTAAGCTCCCAGTTGCTACTCGCCAAAGTAGGAGGTGGAACAATGTTTTGTGTAGTATGCTATGCCATTTGAGCTTGATGTCCCCTGTGACTATGCTCATGAACCCACAGGTTCAACTACTCGCTCGGTCCCTCTGGGTAGTTGGCTGTGACTAAGAAGTGACTACAACCTTTCCCTTGTCAGTTTGATTATACACCTGGGAATTCAGATCATACAAATAAACTTATAGGACCACTATCTGCCAACCCTATACATGGTCTTGGGTACACTTCTCGCTTCAAAGACATACCTACTAGTTCAGCCTGTCCACCCATCTATCCGTCTGTATACCCACGTTTGCCTTCACTGACAATGCGGTACTATATGTGCAAAAGGGTTCATATTTGTTGTCTGTACTTCCCATGTACCTCTCTATGTCTTTCTCTTCCTCAGTGTCACCATGTTGATCACTCACATTTGGTACATTGCCCTTCTCTTCACCCACATCAATACTTATCTCTACCTATCTAACAGTGTTCCCTCTGCCTCCTGCCCCTGGTAACCAACAAAGAAAATTTCCTTCCATAGATAAACCTTTCCTTGACTTTTACAATAATGGACTAATATAATATTTGTCCTTTTGTGATTGACTTATTTCACTCAGCATAATGTCTTCCAAGTTCATCCACATTATGTGGTGTTTTGCAGATTCTATATTATTCTTTAGGGTTGCATAGTATTCTGTTGTGTGTATATACCATAGTTTCGTTATCTATTCCTCAGATGATGGACACCTAGGTTGTTTCCATCTTTTGGCTGTTGTAAATAGTGCTGCAATGAACATGGATGAAAAGCACTCACGTATATGGTGTTAATATGTGTTTTGTGTGGGAGTAGTAATTTACTTAAACTTGGTTTATAAAAATGTATACATTCACACATATATATACACACGTGCGTGTGTTCAACCCAATTGTCATTGAGTTGAATCTAACTAATGGTAACCCCATGTATGTCAGAGTAGAACTGTGTTCTATAGGTCTTTTGGTTACCTAGTGCCACTCTAACAGAAAAATACCACACGTGGGTAGCTTTGACAAATAGGGATTTATTCTCTTACAGTTTAGGAGGCTAGAAATCTGAGCTCAAAGTGCCAAACTCTAGGGGCTGGATGAAGGCCTCTTGACCTTGGGCTTCAGCTTTTTTTTTTAACTCAGACAGCTGCTGGCTGCTGAGGCTGACAAACCCAAGGTGGACAAGTGAAGAGGCACAGTCCTAAAATTATCAAGCAACATGGCAGGCCACTAGCTCAAATCCAGACAGTCTCAAGGTTGGCAGACAACATGGTAGGCCACTGAGATGAAGACTTGGCCAAATGGAAGATCCAGATATGCTAAAAGCTCAGAAACCTTTCTCAAAGCTTCTTATATACTGGACGCAGACCGTATCCTTAAGGAAGCTACTTAGTGGCTCACAGTAAAATCCACATTGGAGTTAATCACCAGTCTCCTCTTGGGGAATAACTATATCCAGCTGCTAAGCCAAGGTGACACATAACCTTAACTACCACGATAGGGCTTTATATTTTGGAAGTAGATTAATATTATTAACATTATTAAGAGGCATATCTTCGAGGCTCCTCTGGGTAGACTTGAACTCTAAACTTTTGGTTAGCAGCTTAGCCCACTAACATACCACACTTTTTCTCTCCCTGCATGTATACACTTTTATTTTCTTCCACACAGAACAGATGCATGATTTTAAATTAGGGAAATTATTTTTAACTTTGTCTTTAAACAGCATTTCAATTCAAGGTTGTAAAAATGTCAGTCTCTGTGTTTTTGGGGCTGTGTTTTGACATTCTTCTTGTAAGTTGTTGTGGACTCATTTATAACTCGTGGTGATCTCATGCATACAGAATAGAACTGCTCCATAGCCTTGCCAGGCCTGTCTTCCGAGGTGCCTCTTAATGTGTTTGAACTGCCAACCTTTTGCCTAGTAGTACAGTGTTTAACTGTGCTATCCAGGAATTCTGGCCATATTTCCTTAAAAGTGCTTAGGTCATTGTGCTTTTATTGTCATAGCTGGTAGTGATAAGCACATAACTGTAACTCTAATACTATCACCTATTAGTATAATCTCAGTGCCCCCCAAACAAAAGCTTCCCCTTTTTCTCTCCCCTGTCCCTCCTACCCCTCGTATCCACTAATAATCTTTGGGTGTGTGTGTGTGTGTGTATCTATATCTATATCTTTCTCTCTCTCTCTATCTATACACTTTTTTTTTTTTCCAACCTATCTAGAAATTTTCTCTCCCCTTGCCTCTTGTCTTTGGTAACCAACTAAGAAAATTTGCTTCTATGTATAAACCTTTCCTTGACTTTTTACAGTAGTGGACTAATACAATATTTGTTCTTCTGTGATTCACTTATTTCACTCAGCATAATATCCTCCAAGTTCATCCACATTATGCAGTGTTTTGCAGATTCTACCCTATTCTTTAGGGTTGCATAGTATTCCATTGTGTGTATGTTCCACAGTTTGTTTATCCATTGCTTGGTTGATGGATACTTAGGTTGTTTCCATCTCTTTGCTATTGTGAATAATGCTGTGGTGAACATGGCTGTGCATATACCTGTTTGTGTCCTGCTTCTCACTTCTTTAGGTTGTATACTTAGTAATGGGATTGCTGGAGCAAATGACATTTCTATTTCCAAATTTTTAAGGAATTGCCATATCAATTTCCACAGTGGTTGTGTCATTTTTTCAGTCCCACCAGCAATGAATAAGAGTCCCAATTTCTACATCCTCACCAGCATTTGTGATTTTTTGATCTGCATCTCTCTAATGGCTAATGACCAGCCACTCGGAAGGAAGGTTGGGCAATCCTATTTCCGTAGTGATACTGCCTTGGAAACCCAAGGAGGGGTTGCTGTGAGTCGGGGCTGACTCGATGGCAAATAACAACAACAACAACAAAATGGCTAATGATCATGAACATTTCTTCATATGTTTGTTGGCTGTCTGAATATATCTTCTTTGGTGAAGTGTCTGTTCATGTCTTCTACCTATTTTTTAATTGGATGTTTATTTTTTTGATGTTGAGACATTGGAGTTTTCTATAAATTTTAGAGATGAGTCCTGTGTCTGATAATGTCAATGCCAAATATTTTTTTCATAATCTGTGGGTTCTCTTTTTATTCTTTTGATCAAGTCTTTTGGTGCACATAAAAATTTAATTTTTAGAAGGTCCCAATCATCTAGTTTATCTTCTGCTGTTTGTTCATCTTGGGTGATGCTTGATAATCTGTTTATACCATAAATTAGAGCCCCTAAGTTTGCCCCTATTTTTTCTTTGATGAACTTTGTAGATTCACTTTCCAGTATAAGTCTTTGATCCATGTAGAGTTAGTTTTTGTGTATGATGTGAGGTATGGATGTTATTTCATTTTTCTGCAAAAGGATATCCCGTTTTGCCAGCACCGTTTGTGAAAGAGACTCTCTACCCCATTGCAAAAACAGCAAGGAGGCCACATGTTTTGACCTCTAATCCCACAAGAGGAAGACAGGGTTACCCGCAGTAACCCAAGGCCTGTTACTGCAAGGCCAGACATGCTGCCTCCCTCCAGCCCTTTCTCCAACCGTTCCTCAGCCAACAGTCTCTCACAGTCTCTTTCCCAGCAGTGCTGGTCCCTCGGTGTCTCACTCAGCAATGCGTGTCTCTTGCGTCTCTTTCCCAGCAGCACGTGTCTCGTTCAGGAGCGCGTGTCTCTTTTGGCAGCACGTCTTCCTAACCAGCAGTCAGAGAGAGTTCTGCCTCTAGGAGGCCTCCTTTTGAGCTTGGCAGAGTGGCCAAACTAGCCAATCATAGCATCAGAACTCTAAGCACCTGAGAGAGAGTGGGCACCTCCCAGAACATTGTTTTGTGCCCCTCCCAACAGAAATACTCCAGGTGGGCAATCAGGATCTCCTCAGTTGCTAATAGCAATTCCCACCTTGGAGTTTACAAAGACTTATGGGTAGAAAAGCCATACTAAGTAATTTACTACACTGCACCCATTTAATTAATTTCAGCCCTTTGTCAAAAATCAGCTGATCATAGGTGGATGGATCTATTTCTGGATTCTCAATTCTGTTCCACTGGTGTATGTGTCTGTTGTTGTACCAATAACAGACTGTTTTGACTGCTGTGGCTGTACAGTAGGTATTGAGATTTGGGAGCATGAGACTTTCTGTTTTGTTCTTCAATAGTGCTTTGATTATCTGAGGTCTTTTTCCTTTCCATATAAAATTAATGATTGTTTTTTTCCATGTCTTTATAAAGTGTTGATGGAATCTGAATTGGGATTGCATTGAATATATAGATTGCTTTGGGTAGTATTGACATTTTCACAGTGTTCTGTCTTCCTATCCATGAGCATGTATATTCTTCCATTTATGTAGTTTCTTAAAGTGGTGTTTTGTAGTTTTCTTTGTATAGCTCTTTTGTGTTCCTGGTAAGATTTATTCTCTAGTATCTTATCTTTCTGGTAGCTATTTTAAATGGTTTTGATTTCCTTTTCAGAGACTTCTGCTGGTGTAGAGGAATCCAAATGATTTTTGTATGGTGATCTTGTATCCTGCCCCTATGCATAGTCTTTCAATAAGTTCCAGTAGTTTTCTTGTTGGGTCTCTAAGATTTTCTGTGTATAGGATCATACCATCTGCAAACAGGGGTTGCTTTACTTCTTCCTAACCAATTTGGATGCCTTTTATTTCCCTTTCTTGCTTTATTGCCCTGGCTAGGACTTAAATAATACAATACAGTGTTAAGGAGAAGTAGAGATAAAAGGTGTCCTTGTCTGGTTCCTGTTCACAAGGGGAATGATTTCAGACTCTCTCCATTGAGAATAATGTTGGCTGTTGGTTTTGCATATATGCACTTTATTATGTTCAGTAATTTCTCTCCTATTCTTATTTTTCTGAGAGTTTTTATCAGGAATGGGTGTTGTATTTTATCAAATGCCTTTTCTGCATCTATTGATATGATCATTGTTATTCTTTTCCCTTATTTTACTTACATGATGGATTACATTGATTATTTTTCTAATATTGAACCATCCTGGCATACCTGGTATGAATCCTACTTGTTATTGTTGTTATGTGCTGTCGAGTCAGTCTTGACTCATAGCGACCCCTGCTTGGATTTCTGAGGCAGTATCACTATGGAAGTAGATTGCCCAACCTTCCCTCCGAGGAGTGGCTGGTGGGTTTGAACGGCCAGCCTTCTGGTTAGCAGTCAAGTGCCCTAGGCACCACGCTACCAGAGCTCCTGAATCTTACTTGGTCATGATATATTATTTTTTTGATATGTTGTTGAAGTCTATTGGCTAGGATTTTGTTGAAGATATTTGCATCCATATTCATGAGTGATATTGGTCTGTAGTTTTCCTTTCTAGTGGTGTCTTTGCCTGGTTTTGGTATCAAGTTTATGCTTGCTTCATAAGATGAATTTGACAGGATTCCATCCTTTTCTGTGTTCTGGGATAGCTTGAGTAGGATTCAATTCCCTGAATGATTGGTAGAATTCTCCAGTGAAACCATCTGGGCCAGGACTTTTTTTTGTTGGTAATTTTTTTTATGACCCGTTCAATTTCTTTTGTATGGGTCTGTTCAGATTTTCTACTTCAGTCTGTGTTCGTGTAGGTATGTAGTGTGTTCCTACAAATCTCTCCATAGGTAAGTAATGTGTTTCTACAATCTCTCCATTTCTTCTAGGAAAAACTAAACTTTTTAAAGACCAAAATTTTGAAGAATGCATCTTCTTGGTTAATAAAACAAAGCAAACCCATTGTCATGAAATGGATTCTGACTCTTAACGACCCTATAAGACAGAGTACACCTGCCCCATAGGGTTTTAATTCTGTAAATCTTTACAAAAGCAGACTGCCACATCTTTCTCACAGAGCATCTGGTGGATTCAAACTGCCGACCTTTCAGTTAGCCACTGAGTGCTTAACCACTGCACCACCAAAACTCCTTTCTTGTTTTAGTAGGAATCAAATGTGCTAGGATTTTTTTTTTTCTTTCACCATTTCTCTGATAATGTTTTCGTTTTTAACTCAAACATTGAAATCATGTTTGGTTTATGTATATATGTTATATTTAACAAAAATAAAAACCAAACTCACTGCCATTGAATCTTTTCTGACTAATTGCGACCCCTATTGGCTTTCCAAGGTGGTAAATCTTTGTGGAAGTAGATTGCCCCATCTTCCTTTTGCAGAGCAGCTGGTGGGTTTGAACTGCTAACCTTCTGGTATTTTCCTACTATTATAAAATACCTTTAACCTCTTTTAATAACATTAATATTAATTGGAAGCATTATTAATAGCATATGGAGTCTCAAATCTTTGCTTGTAGATAATATTTAAATGTGTCAAAGCATATTTTGGAACAAAAAGTTTGGATATCAATATTATCTTTACATTAAATTTGCCAATAGTAAACTGTTTACTATTATGGATTTCAAATATGATTTGTGAATTATATACATACTTACATATATTGATTGACACATTATGGGACATTTTTCACTGTGAAACTTTCAGTCTAGTATTTTGCTATTTTTTGTTCCATGTTAAAAAATGCTAGTAAATCTTTGGATTAAGAAAGTTGATTGTTGGTAAGAGGTCAGATATGTTTAGCTCAAGAAAAATGCATTCTATTTTCTACTGTACAAAACACTCACAGATTTAAAATTGTATCTTTCAGCCTTTGCCATTTTCATGTCGACCACTCTATTGTACAAGTATGATGAATCTGGTGCTGTGCTTTACCGGATTCAGGAAGAAAGAAGAACTAGTAAGTATTTCAACAAATTCTATTCAAAGAATGTCTAGCAAGATAAATTTAAACTGACTTATTTTTTTTTGTAGTTGTATCACAGTTTTATTTGAAAAACATTGAGGTGGAAAATATTATGGATATATCAGTTTATAAATTTTGTAAAGAAATTCTGAAGAATCTGAAGAGTCTTGTGAAAAAAAAACTAAAATGTTTTGTATATGATTAACAGGGAAATTTGATAAATTTCAAATCTGTTTAAATATTTTGTTTCTATTTATACGTATCAGCCATATTGGTTATTTGAAATTTTTCTTTATAGATTACAGTTTTGGTTACATAAGGAAGCCTGATGGTACAGTGGATAACCACTCAGGTGCTAACTAAAAGTTTGGTAATTTGACCCTACTAGCGGCTCTATGGGAGAAAGATGTGGCAATCTGCTCCAGTAAAACCCTATGGGCAGTTCTACTGTATACTGTAGGGTTGCTGTGAGTTAGAATTAACTCTGTGACAGTGGGTTTGGTATATATTTTTTTGGTGTTAAGTGCAGCCTCAGAGTACTCTCACTCCCCTAGAGAATTCATGGAAACTGTTTTGTTGAAAAGGTTTTCTGTTGGAGCTAATGGGTATTACTCTAATTTTGTACACTGAAATATGTAAATTAGTCACATGTATGATGTTGAAGTATGGGAGGATTTTTGATATGATGTAATCTGATAGAGAAAAAAGTAATATATTTGGACAGTGTGAAAGCCTTAGTTTTGTATGAAGATCTTTACTAAACTTATCTGTATATTTAATTTTACCTGTGTTAGTAAGGCAAACTAATTTTTTCTTAATGTTTTGTTTTGAGGTTAATTTGAAAGTATTCAGTAAATCCTAAATGACTTGTAAACATATTTCAGAATTTTGTTCAAATTAATGATTAAGTCAATATTGCTTGATTTTTCTTTTGAGGTCAGATTGGTGACATTGGTCCATCACATGGGTGGAGTTATTCGAAAAGACTTTAATTCAAAAGTTACACATTTGGTGGCAAATTGTACACAAGGAGAAAAATTTAGGGTATGTAAACGCAAGTATTTTTGTGTATTTCAATATGACATTTTGGCATGGGCTTAATAATAGCACTCTTGCTATCTTTTTCTTCCATAATTTACTTAGGATCAGAAATTTCATTTTTGCTATGAGTACATTTACAGGTAATCCCTAAGTTATGAAGGACATTTCCTACTTTCCTACTTGGTCTTTAAATAGTGCTGTGATCCAATTTAAGCTGGTTCTGTCAATGGCCAATGAAGCTAAATAGAAACAGACCTGGAATTTCACAATTTGAGTGATTCATCTTAGTAACTGGAATGGGAAAATTTATTAGTCAAAGCCCTGGAATGGTAAACTAGGAAGAATGACCCCTTTCAGGAGGCTGATTCATGAGATTCAATTTTTGGCAGGACGATAGAGAGCCACTCACATTCAAAACATTGCAGGTGACCACCATCCTTGAGCAGAACACCACCATCTTTGAGTGGGGCACTAGTATCCTTGACCATCGTGCTGCCATCTTTGAATGGGGCAGCACTGTTTTGGCTTAAAATCTGGGTTATGTTTATATAAATTTGCCCTTCCTGTGAAACAATTGAACTAATCCCTAGTTGCAACAAATTCTTTATCATAATCGCCTTTACTTGCCATGTGCAGCTTTCAAATCATTAAAATGATTTTGAGCCTTTTCTTGCATTAAAAAAATAAAAAAACCAAACTCACTGCCGTGAAGTCAGATCCAACTCATAGCAAATCCTCCTTGAGTCTCCAAGGTGGTATTACTATGGAAGTAGATTGCCTAGTCTTCCTTCTGAGGAGTTGTTGTTGCCGGGGAGTTGGGCCTGACTCATAGCCACCCCTTCTTGGGTTTCCAAGGCAGTATCACTATGGAAGTAGATTGCCCCATCTTCTTTACAAGGAGTGGCTGGTGGGTTTGAACCACCAGCCCTCTGGTTAGCAGTCAAGTGCCTTAGGCACTACGCTACCAGAGCTAAGGCTAAGTAAGAATTACATGTACCTGTTCGGACAGACCTACAGATTCTTAAAGATACAGTTATGAGCAGATCTTATTTGTACAGGCACTGCGTGTAGTAAGAAATTTAAATCATTGGTGTGTGGTCCTTTAGTTTTTCACAATGCTTTGAACTAGTTCTTCCTGGTTCAGTCAAGCCAGTGAAGTGAAACTGAAATGAATTTGAATTTGTAAAATGTGTATCAATCGAAATGGTAACTGGAACAGGAAAAATTATGGATCATTACTCTGCTAGAAACTTAATCTCCCTCTTAAAAAACAAAGGTAGTGTGCACATTGCATAGCAACCAAATCTCCTGACCAGCAGAGTTGGAAACAGTGGTACTCGGCTTAAAGATGGTGGCCAACAGCGTCACTTCAGATATGTCACGTTTCATAGACCTGACAGTAATCTAGTCTCCATCAGGCTCACTGAGAGAGCTCACTATGCCTCTTCTAAATCTCCCATTCCAGGGCTTCAACCTATACTTTTTCCCATTCTGGCTATTGTTCTGCTTTACTCAAATTTTAAAAATTTGGGTCTGTTCTCATTTTGCTTAGTCAGTCATGACCGAACTGTTTTCAGTTGGTTTGAAGTCCTCGTTTTTAAAGAGACAATGGAATTTGAATTAAGTCCAGAAAGATGGATAGAGTAGGATTATCAGGGTTGGTGGATAGATGAACATTGCAGGCAGGTTAATAATAATAACAAAGGTAACCATGACCATTGGTGTATAAGGCAGTCAGGTGAATAATAATAAGGACCATTGGTGAATAAAGAGAGCAGATATTTCACTCTTGGCTGGGTGTTCTTTAAAAGAACAAAGCTATGTTTTTATAACTTGGTTCTATGATTTCTCTTGGTAAAAATTATGAGGAAATACTTTTATTAGGATTGAAGTCTTAGTTTAAGATAGTACTGAATATCTTAGAGATTATCTTTGTGTTTCATCCTTCGTCACAGAATATTTATTTAGCAAATGGCCATTTTAGGGTAATTTTGAATTCCTGGGAGGTACTTTTTACCAACTCCTATTTAAGTTCTTAGCGACTTAATTAGGAGCTCTGGTAGCATAGTGCCTAAGGCACGTGACTGCTAACCAGAAGGCTGGTGGTTCAAATCCACCAGCCACTCCTCGGAAAGAAGATGGGGCAATCTACTTCCGTAGTGATACTGCCTCGGAAACCCAAGGAGGGGTCGCTATGAATCGGGTCCAACTCGATGGCACATAACAACAACAACAAATGAGTGACTTAATTCTGTAATGTAATTTTGAGGGTCAGAACTTTCAAGGAAGGAGTCATGAAGAAAAGAATAAAAATATAATACAGATGAACATGTGAACTTCAGAGATATATTTATTTAAAATAAAATGAGGAAACAGTTTGAAAAGCATGGAACTTGTTTTAAAGTTATTTTAACCTTAATTTTAGTGATTGACTGTTAATGTTTTTTGTAGTTTGTCACAAATGAGATGAAAGATAATCTAAAACTGCAAGTGGAGAGAGAGTGTGTGTGTGTTTATCTATTTATCTATCAAGCTAATGTTTCTTAGAATTTCCATGATGTAGTTACTTAGGTGAAAATTCACCATAATTGATGTTTACTTTTTTAGGTTGCTGTGAGCCTGGGTACTCCAATTATGAAGCCAGAATGGATTTATAAAGCTTGGGAAAGGAGGAATGAACAGTTAAGTGTTTAGAGATTTACCTGTTCATTATGTGACTTAAACATGTCATATTCTAGAGATAAGTTCTTATGTTTAACTTAGTCTAAAAACCTAAGTTCATGCATCATATAGAAAAAGAAATGAATTCAGTCTTTGAGTAGCTTAGGAAATAAAGTCTCAGAGAAAGAAAGCTATAAAATTTTTATTTAAAAATTAAAAATTGAAAGACATCTGTGATACCTTTGGAATTTACCTGGTGGAGTAGTTTTAAACACTAAACTTTTACTGGATAATTAGCTTAATCCATTGAGATATTTGGATTTTGTTATATTCTTTCTTATTTTATGTTTATCTGGTTGCATTTTAAATTGGTGGTTGCAATTCATTACTTTGTTTGGAAAGCTTTCTGACCTCCTGATTCTTTGCTGTTACTGCTTGTCATTATTAAGATTTCATAAAAATATAGGGACCTGGAATACATATAAAATTTCAAATAAAAGCAGGAATTTGAATCTTTGAAAAATGGTTTTTACCTGGGACCAACATTTTCAGAAATTTCTTCTGAGATGACTTCACAACACTGTTGGTTTTCCCTTTTACTAATGTTTTGTGAATGTTTCAGAACAAGATGTAAAATATTTTCAATAAATGGAATATGCTAAAAACTTTGAGAATTACTATAGCCTTATAAAATTATATACCTAATTTTTTTGAATTTAAGTTAAACTCATTTTACAAAGGTGTATTTTGCTTTTAGGGATTTTTGTGCAGCATTTGATAACTTTAAAAATGAATTTAAAGTTCCTCCATTTCAAGATTGCATTTTAAGTTTCCTGGGATTTTCAGATGAAGAAAAAAACAATATGGAAGAAATGACTGAAATGCAAGGTAGAATTTAGTATAATTTATAAGTTATATATAATTTATCCACTAGGCCTGTTTAATCATTTCCTGGTGGATATGTCCCATTAAAAGTTGAATTTGGACATAAATTGGTTTATTTATGCTTTCCTCTTTAGGAGGTAACTATTTGTCAGTTGGAGATGAAAGATGTACCCACCTTATAGTTGAAGAGAACATAGTAAAAGAGCTTCCATTTGAACCTTCAGAGAAACTTTATGTTGTTAAGCAAGAGGCAAGTGTTTCTAGAACAAGATTTTTCTTTTAAACATTACTAATAGCTTTTCTGATAAGGTAGAATATTCATTTTTAATGAAAATATTCTTTCCCCACAGTGGTTTTGGGGAAGCATTCAAATGGATGCCCGAGCTGGAGAAACTATGTATTTATATGAAAAGGTACGCATTTTCACCTTTAATATTTGTTCTGTGAACTTGATTATAAAAAAGATAACACTTTTCTATCCAGAGAATTTAGAGAGCATGGCATAATTCTCATGCATATCATCTTACACTTCATGTTATGTTTCAGAATATTTTAAACAATTGAATTTTAGGAGTATTCATAGTATATATTTGTGAAAATATTCAAAGTAACAGATACTTCAACATATTTTTATAATGCCATATTCTGATAAAAGCCAGGAACCCGGACAGAAGAGTAGTCAGCCCCAGGGTTGCAGGTGAGGAGAGACAACTCAGGGACGCACAAAGTAGCAAGCGGGAAGAGCAGGAGAAAAGGGATTAAAAGCCAGGAAGCCAGAGAGAAGAGCAATCAGC